ATTTTTTTCTTTTTGATTTTTTACCTGGATTACTGAGATGCATCAGGACACTAATGACAATAATAAAAAACATGTCTAATCATTGCAGACAAAGACCTTGTTTCATTATTTTTACCTTATAAAAAGCTGTTTATATCTCCATCGTCGCGGTTCGCCACTGCAGGCAGCCGCCATCTTGCACTGCCATCTTGTCTACGAAGGCCCATGAAGGACAAACTGCGGTGGTGGCATCAAAAACGGTTTTAGTTGTAATACTATAAATATAATGTTTGTTGTTTGTCATTGTAGCTGGGATAATTTTTCCTTATTAAAGTTGAAACATCACTAGCCCTGAAGCTGCTGGTAGACATCGCGGTTGGAATTATCAAAGGTTTTTGACACCTGAGAGACACCGTTGCAATTCCTTTGCGTTTGGAATGGGGGTTGGGGGGAGGACAAGGGAGGATGATTCAACCACTGAACCACTAGATGTCGCTGAAACCAACAAATCCTTTACACTGTGCCTTTAAGCTCCAAAGTCTTTATCAGTCAGATTCCACAGTGAAAAATATCTGTTTTATCCCCATTTATGAGTTTTTGGCAGTTTGACTAACTTTAAAAATCGCTGCTTTCTGGTACAGCAGTCGGCTCTGGAAGCAATCACTTTTTTCTTCCCTTTTTTTTGAAGCGAGTGGTTGAAGCAAATGCAGCATCTGCTTTCAGCACAAACTAAAACACTCCCATGAACTAGGCAAATCCGTCTCCTACCGTTTGTGCATTGTCTTGAAATTTCGCTCCAAGTTACACTTTTTGGGTAAGGCAACACTCGAATTACAGATGAGGCAAATAGGCTTCGAATTAGAATAAACAAAAAAATACTCCTCCTCCCACCCTGTGTGAAAATAATAAGTTTTCGTTTGCTTGTTTGCTAGTTTTCCATTTATGTTTTCTCTGCATCGACAACTCTACCACTGAACCTAAAGTCTTGTCAGAGCGCTGTGTCACCGCACCCAAAACTCGCGAGACAACATCTGTGAAAATGCAAGAGGGGGAGGGCGTAGGGAGCGCATTGCTGCAAGTTGGAATGTGTTGCACGTATCCCATATTCTTTCCATTTCTTGATGATGGATTGACCAAAACTCCTGGTGATGTTCAGGGTCTTTTGTTTCCAGCTACTGGCTTTGATTTAAGAGGGTGAATTTATATGTAATCACTGTGCATTTTATATATCTTCTATAGTACACATTAATCGAGCTCCACAAGCAGGGGTGCAGCTCGCTGTCCGACTGGGAGGATTACGCTGCGGACTGCGACTCTTCAGTTTTACAGGTCCAGGACCCGGACTGCCAGGAGGGAAGCAACCCGCCCTGCGAGTCCGTCTTCTCACTGAATGCAGAAAAAATCCTGGNGTGCCAGTCAGTGTATAACACACTAGTCTGGTCTAAAATGTAATAAAAAAACAACATACAGACACACTGTGACAAGTCTAGAGGAGACAACTTTTTATGCAAGCTGTATAAAAATAAATGTATTATCCCACTAAGGTAGACACCTTAGTGGGACTTCTGACAGTGAGAGGAGGCCAGGGTCTCAAAGGTGGGCAGTATGAGGTGGTTCAGGTGTAAGCAGGTCTCCAGATGATCATCAGTCTTTGTGGATCTGTTCTTGGACTTGATGATTTTCATGTGAGAGAAAGCAGACTCCAGAACTCTCCATCCATGCAACTTCTTGCTCTGGATTTGACCCCAGTGTCATTTTGCAGAGTCAAAACCTTATTTTTTTTACACCAGAGCAGTCCAGAATGAAACACGGACACGAATTTGGACACATCCATCCATCCTGGTGGAAAACTGCATGTCTTTAATACAATCTCACTTTTATTTTTAAAATCATGAAAAAGCACATCTGCAGCCTCAATAAATGCTTATTTTATGACTTCTCCATCGCTGAAAAACTTCTTATGTTGAGAAAGCGGCTAACACGGTATGAGGCTATTGTAGTAGCCTTACCTTTTGTGCTGCGCAGAGTGAAAATCAATTGCTGGGCTGCTAGATTCCTTTTTAGCTCCCGCACTTTCTGAGTCCATAATGAACAGCAGGTAGTTCCTGAAACACCCCGAGCCAAGCTCCTGGGGAAACCCCTCCCACTGCATACGTCACTGCATTGGATTCCTTCCTGGGGGAATGATGAATGAATGATGAATGATGCTACTCCCCCCACCTCCACCGCTTCTGCCGGAGTTAAAATGAAGCTTAGCGAGTGGACACGTCACCTTGCTAACGGCTGACAAGCCGGCTCGCAAGGTTGCGCTTCGCGGGCACCTGGGAATCAGCTCATGGGTACCGAGTCGCCCGCGAGCGACGGGTTGGGCACACCTGCCGTAGGTGAAGGTTTGAACACAGTCAGACATTTTTAAATTGAGAGTTTTGTCTTTCAGCTTAGCTCCTTCTTCACCACAAGAGACTAAAGAAACCCCCTCATTGCTGTGAACAAGTCCCAGAGTGTTCAGTTCACCTTCTGCCCTAACTTACCACAACAAGACTCGAGTCACGAATGTCTTGGTTGGGTTTCATTATTCTCCTTCCTGCATGATCACACAGTTTGTGAGGGCAGCCTGCTTTTGGTAGGTTTGCACATATCCCATATTCTTTCCATTTCTTGATGATGGATTGACCAAAACTCCTGGGGATGTTCAGGGTCTTTTGTTTCCAGCTACTGGCTTTGATTTAAGAGGGTGAATTTATATGTGATCACTGTGTATTATATATATGTTCTATATTACACATTAATTGGTATTATCCTGTAGAAATAGGATTTCATTTGGACATTGGAGAAAGAATAAAAAAAAATCAAAAGGCCAATTTAAATTGACCATGACTGATTCATTGTAGAAATAAAAGGATAAACATTACAGGTGTAAAATTATTTTTTAGGCACTGTACTTTCTTTAAGGGTTAACATTAAATATATTTAGTCTACCATGAAAGGCACACTTTGAATCACAAAGTGGTGTTTCAGAAAACAACACAGTGCTGGCCACAGATGCACTTGCCTTTTAACCGGTCCGCTATTCTCAGGCATGGCTGATGCCAATTAATTTTTAAAAAGGGCAAAGATTGCCCTAATTATTCGGTCAGCCAGTCAACTGGTCTCCTATAAATTACTGGACTGAATGCTAAGTATTATTAACTCTATTCAATTAGACCCACACCCTTAATGCTTTGAAATGTGCCTAAAAAGATGTGTTCACATACCAGAAGTGGAAATCTGCCTCTTTTACAGAAAACAGCCCAGTTTTGAAAAAAGCCTAAAAAATGTTTTTTTTAACATTATAGTTTTTTTTTTTAAATTCAGATCACTATTTTTACTAATTCTAGCATTTTTAACACAGTGATACTGTCAGCTGCACATAACGTCATTCTAAAAAATAGGGTGGCATTAGCAGTTTTGATTCTTGACTATTAAGTGCTCTTGCGACCTGTACTTTAATATTTAAAACATATTAATTCTTAGAATTATAAAACAATAAAGTCTTTATAATGTCTTGACACAATATTTGACAGTAAAACAATATTACAACAAGCAACAGCATCCCATTACATCACGTAATTAGACACAGTTCTATGTGATACAACTGAGAGTTAAATAATTGGTTTACACAGCAATCAATTTATTTTACACCGTTTTACCATGTCTTCAATTGATCATGAAGTCTTCTAGAAGTAAATATAAAATATTATTCAAATATTTTAATTTTAATTAGAATATTAAGCACTTCATATACCTGCCTTGTTTTTGGTTAAAGATAGCATGATGGCCTTTTTGCTTCCTGCTACTAATAAATTTCAGTATCAAATAAAAAAATAAATCATCCTTCCATTTCTTATATTCATGTTTTCTTTTCTGGGTCATGGGGGGACCTGGTGCCTATCTCCAGCAATCACTGTGTGGGATGTGGGGTACACCCTGGTCTGAYGGAGGAATCTAAAACACCCAGAGAAAACTAAGGCTTGGATGGGGATAATATTCAGACCCCACCCAGAAAGTCCAGGAAGCAAACCTGTGACCTTCTCACTGTGAGACAACAGCACAAACCACTGCTCTACAATAATTAAWTAGTTTCTTAATGTTGTATTTTACACAATGGCTGTGGCAAATTCATCAAGGATGAGTGTGAAGTGTAAGTCATCATGTACCTCTTTTAAGGCACCAACACAGAACATGGTGGCCCGTTACACTTAGCAGCTTGAGGAMAGGTCTTTAGAAAACACATTTTTAAAGGTAAATCGCTAAAGGAACCATTCTCAACATTGCCAGCTTACCTTCAGGAGCTAAATCCAGCTCCATAGAGACTGGACGGTCAGCATCAGCTTGGTGTCTCTGCTTTAGGCAGTGCCCTCTCCTTGGTAATCTGTATTCAYATGAAACACTGTCTCTCTTCTACTTTGGCTTTCTCTTTTTGTTGCATTTTACCAGAACATCCTGTGGACTTTGTTTGCCTTGATGTGAGCTTGTTGGAGTTTGGCCGAGGTTTGCCTCTGGGCATGGATCTGAAAGAGAAAGTGGCAGCGTGATATCCTTCAGGATGTTTATTTAAGTGGCAAGTATAAATGCAGGGCGGGATTTCCTCGGTTGCTGAAAGCCAAAGCTGTTTTGGCAGAAGAATCAGACCAAAACATGTTTGAATACATTTAGGGTTGCAGCAAACAAACTTTAAGAACAAATAGATCAAAATAATTGTTCATATGCTAGATGACAAATTTTAGTAATTAAAAAAGTATAAAGTTGACTATGCTGAGGCAGAAACACAGACATGGGATTGTCTCTGCTGTATTTTGACATCCCAGCTGCAWTGATACACCTGGTTGTTCATCTCATTTGTCTATATGTGTTCAGGCTGACACCGACCTGTCAAATTGTGAGCGGTCTGCGTTCCACCTCGGTGCTTTCCCTGCTGAAAACATCAGGATTGTAGGATCTCTGCTCCATCATCTCCAGGTTATCAGCAGTAGTTGTTTTTATTGAAACAACAGACTTCTGCTGTAAAACCAGAGCTATGAAACACAAAAGTACATCATATAGGCTTTGGGTCAGTAAATGTGTCAGTCAGTGTGAATGTGTTCCTAGTCCATCAAGGCAATGACYACATTCCTTGCTCTGGCCCCATTATTTCAATTTTCATCTATTTTGATAGAGATTTGATGAATCTCTGTTAAAGCATATGACTATAAATTATCACAAAGTATGAAATACAAGACTGGATCTAAAATTCAATTAATTAGCCACAAAACCCCATTCAGATCGATAACTGAAGTGTTGAAAAACATTAGTTTAACTTCCTGATCCTACCATTGCAAAGTCAGCAAAGTACCTCATGATGCATATTTCCATGATACTGTGCACTTTAATAAAAAAAATAAGAGCAGAAAATATTTTAGCACCTAATTACCATGTAGGGTATGACTAAAACATGTCTAAACATATAGCATTGATTTAGTATAAAAACAAAACTGCATAAACATGTATTTATGACAGAGTACTGACAGTTAGTAGACCTTGAATGATTTTGAATCAACATTCTGGCTGATCTGTTAAGAGCTGACCATGTGTGAAAATGAACTGAAACTGAGTGTGAACTTTTCATGAAGCCATTTCACATGTATGTCTGAGATTAATTCACGGCATCCACCCTGAGCTCTACACATTGTGCAGTATATTTGCTTAAACCATTGTTCATTGTTATTAATRATTAAGGTAAATACTAGTCGTGTTTCCATCAATGTTTCTTGATGCACATTTTGGAGTGTCGCATCAGAAAAGGTGAATGGAAACGGCGTGATTCGAAAAAACTTCCTCTGATTCGCCCAAAAGCTGATACACTTGCTTGAGGTGGTTTTAGGGTTTTTTGAAAAACACTTAATGCGCAAAAAGACAGATGGAAACACTTTTGCCTAATAAGTTGTGACGTAGCGAACATTTACAGTACCTCCCGTAGCTGATCAGCTGTTCCCCGGTACTGGTACCATTTTCGGGTTGGCTGCAGCCGCGATTAGCAACAGGACCCTCCTCCCGCTGTTTGCGTCTTCTCAGTAATCCCGTAACGTGAAGAAAATTGCATTTCTTTCTCTACATCTCCATACAGCAGTAACATCGCCAAAACTAGTTGATAACAGAATAATTACAACTTTCCTGATAGTAGCAACGCGTTCCTGAGAACTTCTCTCCATTATCCTGAGATGTGTGGACCCTGTGAGTTTAGCGATGGTTATTTCCTGTTTACTACGCACATGCGTATGACGTAATAGATCCGCTTCAAGCCAGTTGATGGAAACTTTGTCTGATTCTCATTTCTTATTTTTTTCCTTTTTGCGAAATTATTAAAATTCGCTCAAAATTCGAATTAAAATTGGATGGAAACATGGCTACTGTCTGTCTGCAGGCAAAATATCTTATACCATACAGTTTTTAATGCAAGCTTCAAAAATCAGTTGTTAGATGCACAACACATTGATTTGCTTTTGGAGTCAGTTCARTTCAGTCTTAGCAAACATAAAAGGCTTTAAGTCACACAACAAGTCACACAGATGGGCTAAGGGTCTGTGTGGTAGCTGAGAGTCACTCTCAGCACRTAATTGGAGAGCTAACAGATTTCAGATTACAGCTTGCACATAATGTTATTTCTAAGGTTTGCCCAAAATAGTTTTAATTCCATTCGTCCTCAACATAAAATGAACTCTCTTCAAAATCTTGGCAGGAAAATAAATTAAAATTAAATGTAATACTTTACATGGAGCCAAAGTATATTGATTTAAAACATTAAGTATTCAAATAAATAAAACCCTTAATG